TTCAAATAATTATTGATTCATATTTTCCATTATTAATCCGGGAGTTCAACTTAATTTCCACTACATTTCATATTAATTTCCTTTTTGTTCTGTTCACAACAAACATTCATTCCTCTACCAGTGTTTAAAACCACACATTTTATTTCGTCTTCTTCCATTCCACGTAAAATAATTGGAAACCCTCTTTCTCTGTTTAGTATACACTTGCTTCTATAAATCTATTATTTTCTTATTTCAGAGGAATCATTTCTGACAGTACTTTTTCCCTTGAATTTCATTCTTTCTCCACAATGACTCCTTATTTACTGCTTAGAACAGTAGTTTCTGACAATTTATTTTTTCTTAAAATAATTCTTTTTTCAGGACCAGCAGTTAGTGTAATGGTTAAGTCGCTGGACTCCCACGTAGTCAACCGCGGTTCGAGTCCCGGACCTGGCGGCTTAAACTCACGCTGGGCGCGTGTGCATGCGTGCCCAAGATCCTGAGAGGAGAATGAAGGAGAAGGGGTTCGGTGTGACCATCCCCTCTGGGGGGTGATTTCTCGCTTTCTGTCTCTCTGTCTCTCTCTGTCTTTCTGGCGAGCGCATGCGCCCTATAGCAAAAACCTCTCAAAAAAAAAAAAAACATAATTCTTTTGTCTTAAAAGCTCCTTATTTAGTACTTAAAATTATACATCACTAATCATATAATCTTGATCTATTTGAAATGTTTTCCCTTTTTCTTATTGTCCTATAAGCAAAGGTTTATCTTCCAATTCTTTTATTGTATAGTTAGATTTACTTCTATTTTCTTTAGAATGCTTATGTGTATAATTTATTTTCTCAATATCTTTATTTCTTTCTGACAAATTGATGTTTTACTTGAATATAGTATTTCTCTCACAGTGTAGTATTCAGCCTTAAAGTAATTTTTATTTGTGAAGATCTTGGAACTTGGGGCAAGGAATAAATTTTTTTTCATTGTTGTTGCTATTGTTTGATCCCTTTTACAAATTATTTTATTTCATTTATTATTATTATTAGGCTTCACTTCTATAGAAATGTGCATGTTGGTATAAAAACTATTATTGTATATTAGTACATAATTCTAATTTGTGAGTGTAATTATGTCTCTTTACTTAGGTATGTATATTATTATCATTATGTAGATTATCATCAGCAAATAACATTTCATTTTGTGTCAATTAAATGTATTGTTTTATTATAAAAGTACACACGTAGTACTCCCACTACATATGATGTATGTCATAAACATACACACACACAACATATTATATTGCACACATATATGCATAATACCAGATGATAAGATTAGAGACGACTTTAATATCTTTGTTATTATATCATTTCTAACTGATTATAATGAGCATTTATTGAATTTGTGACAAAGAGAGCATTTATTTCCCCTGTATGTTGTTGTGTACAATGTAGAAAAAAGTATAGTATACTCAAGTTTATTTTTGAATTATGGAGCTTGGGATTATGGATCTCAAGAGAAATAACAAACTTCAATAAAGCAAGGAACACAAAAGTGCAAATAAGCCTTTGCTTTTATAAATAAGGTTATAAATACCAATTTAAGTTTAATGTTTTTAGACACATTTGCTTACTTCAAGGTAAAGAAAAACTTAAGTGGTACCCTCTGCTTGCAAATTACCAACAGAAAAATTTTTTAAAGGAAATCTACAATAAAAAAATAAAAACGATCATAACAAATGGAACACTAACAGACCTTTTATACTCCTGAAAGATAAATGACATTTTAAAAATATTTTTTGCTGATAGCAGGTATCTATTATGTTTAAAAGGAATGTCTCCAAATTATTTTTAGAGGTTTATACCTTGAAGATAATGGAAATGATAAAATAGTTAAAAACCTAGGTTCTGGAGTTCCACAGGGACTGCACCCACATTCTAGAAAGTGTGTGGGTGTGGGGCATTTTGACTTCTTTCTCCAAAGGGCAAGACGAGTTTGGTCTACCCTCTTACTGCTAAGAGGAGGAGGCCCAGCCTAGAACATGGGAAGACCCCCGGCTGCTGCAGGTGTGATTGAGGCAGGTCTTCCCCAGGGCTCTAGTGACCAGCTTCTAACTCAATGCACAAGAGCCAGGTGTACTCAAAAGGAGTGGGCAGTTCACACTCCTGTGTGCCAGCTCCTGCCACTCTGCATTACTCCCTCCACAAGTACACGCGTACACACACAGGTGCACGCTCAGCAAATGTTTCAGGTATTTCTTTTAGACCAGATGTCAAATCTTTCTAGCAGTACAATTCTAAGCATCATATTACCTTGTCTCTGGAAAGAGATTCATCCTTAATTACTGCCCCAACAAATTCCTGTTAAGCACTAATAAGTGTAACTGGAGGGGAAACCAAAACAAAACCAATGTAGGAAACTACAGCGAAAGTGTGGAGCATAGCAGATAGTAGAAACCCAGGTGACTGACGTGCACTGCAGAGGCCCCTGTGTCGCATCCAGGTGCTGTCCCTTGAAACTCAGGACCCAGGTGTCTTCAGAAACATGCTCTTGTCTTCAGTGAAGCTGATCCCACTGTGCTCAGTGGCCTGCTGACCAATCAGAAGTCTTCATTCCCTGGAGAATTTAGGGGTCTCTTCCGGCTGCAGGTTCCCTTTATGCGACCGTGTACACGTAGTGAGGGACAGTATTTTTAATTAACGTAGATCACATCTTCCCCTACACACAGCCCAGATTTTTAGCATAGCCATGTAATCTTCAAAACTAAAATAGATTTAAATGTAATATGGAAAGACAGGCCTGGCAACAAGTGACTTCAAATGTATGGTTTCCCGAGAGAATGCACATGTGAAATGAAACTGTAAGATAAACTCTTACTTATTAGAAAAAAAAATGGACTAAAGACATTTTTGAAGAAAAAATATTCCCATGACATAGACTTTGTTTTGTTTTGTTTTGATAGGATTTTTGTCTTAGGATGTGCGTGCTCATTGAAGAGAGGGAGAGACAAAGACAGACGCCATGAAGGGAAAGTGAGAAATCACCCCTGTGGGGGGGGATGGCCACACCACAGTCCTTTTTCTATTCTCCTGAGAGCTTGGGCATACACACACATGTGCCCGGTGTGGGTCAAGTCACCGGGTCCAGGACTTGAACTGCGGTTGGCCACGTGGAGTCCAGTGACATAATTGGTACATCTTCTGGCCCCTTGTTTAGTTTTAAATATGAAAATCATGAGGCAACAAATTTTGTAACTAACAATACACACACACACACACACACACACACACAGATACATATTCAGGTTAAATTTGTTGTGATTATTTAAACTCTATGCCTGTTATTACTTCTCCATATCACTATAGGTATTCTTTGAAAAGGCTTTAAAGTAGAGCAATTTACTGTTACTAATAGGAATGCAATCAGTCTTGTAAACGAATAAGGTGAAATTTACAAATTTCTAAAACTCCAGAAAAATTGAATCCATATTTACTGCCCTCTATCAATGTGCTTACAGGGTGGCAGTAGCAAACACATGTTGTGACCTAGGGGTTCTTAAAACTCGCTGACCTTCCTGTATCTGCCTGTGACTGTAGGCAGTTGCATTTAGAGCATTATCATATGATGTAATAAAGTCCCATTAGAGTCATAGTTGAGAGGAAGACCTGGTGCAGTCAGAGTGCAGTACCACTCACAAATAAATAGCTTTTTCTCCTACGATCAGACTGTCTGTGTCTGGGCCCACATGGGTGCTGTAGTTTTCTATTAGCATAAGTTGTTCAGTAGTTCATAAAACGTTCGGTGGAGATGGCAATTTCGTCATTGCAGCGACACCTGCAAACGTTGCTCCCCATGGTCACGGTTCTGGGCTGCGTCTGGAATCTGTACAGAGATGATAATGAGAGCGGGTTCGGGCCAGCTGGGGTGGCACAGTGGTGACATGATGCTCTGAGTGTGGGTGTGAAGAAGAGATGCACAGTTATTCTGGACAGAAGAGACAGCAGTGGTCTGTCATAGGTTTGGTTCTTTTTCTATTTCCATTCATCTTTTAAGTTCCCTTCTTATTTAGGAAATGTTCTCGCATTGATAAAACATATTCCCTTAGGCAGGACGGACGTTGGCTTTGCCTCTTCCCTTGAGGTTGCAGGTGTGACCAGGAAGCAGACACACCGCTGTGAAACCTCGCTGGGGCAGTGACCGATGTGAGGAAGTGCTGGGCAGTTTTTCTGGGAGGAAAGCAGTGGGCATTCGCCGTTCCATCCTGCTTTCGGTAGTGCTATGTTGCACCAGCAGTTGCTGACTGTCATCAGGTAAACAGCCACGGCTTTGATGATGTATCCTGCACAGAGATTCTTGGAACTTCAGGCCCAGCCAGTGGCGTGATAGTCAAGGTGTTTGGATCCCACAGGATCAACTGCCTAATTGGAGTCCTGGACCCAGGGGCTTGAAAAACATGCTGGGTGCCCATGTGTGAATGCCCCAAATCCCAAAAGACAGGAGAGATGGAGAAGAAGAAATTGCAGTTTGATCATCCCCGAGGGGGGACTCTCTCTTCTCTCTTTACTTTTATTTTATTGGTGTGCAAGTGCACACACATTCTAACAAATTAAAAAAAAAAAAAAAAGAGGGGAGGAGATTCTTGGAACTTCCTGATATCCAGTGGTAAACTATTTTTTGGCCTATTGATAAATTAGTTGGAGTGGATTTTGTTCGTAGTTTTTGCACATGAATTGACAGCCGCATTCCAGAGAACAGCCTGTCAGTGATGATATAAGTTCATACAAATAAACAGGATATTTTACTGATTGTATATTTTGCCTAATCTTAAATAGGTGATATTGTCATACTTTTAAAACTATCCATAATTATGACTGTTAAATTAGAAACCACTGTTTAAACAGATCATTTTATTTTATAATGTAAATATATATAAATTTAAAGATGAATCATTGGAATTGCTTTGAGTCCCCGAGAGGGAAAATGAGAAAGCAAACCACCAGGTCTGGGACTCGAACTGTGGTCAGCCATGTGGAGACCAGCACCCCAACCACCACGACACCTGCTGGCCCTATTGTCACATTCTTGCTTTTGCTCCAGTTGTGATTACCTACTGCTGCCACTGGTATTTCCAGCCAGACGTGACACATCTTGTTATCTCTATAAATACATGAATTCTTCCGAGTGCCCCTAAAAAAGAAACATAAAGAAGTCAACACGACTTCCAAAGACTGCTTTCCCATATTTTCACCCAGTGTAAAAAGACCAGTCCTATGCTTGCCGTTGCCCTTGCATGTCCTTTCCCGTTTCTGTACCTTACTCGTTAGACATTCTTTCTTCCCTGCTTTCAGTTTTCTTTGTTTTCAGTGCCGATACTCTTGAGTTTTGAGGATTTTTTTTTTACTGCTTTTTCCTTCTCTTTTATAATTCTTTAAAAATAAGTATAAAAGCTATACAATTACATCAGTTAATCTCAAGAGTTCAAGATGTAGTTAAATCCATGTTGATTAGGTACGTATGTTAGCTTATTTATATTTTTCTAGAGAAATGTCATTTCAAGATTGCTTTTAATTTTTTTTTTTTTTTAATTTCTTCAATGAGCAGGAGAGATGGACAGAAAGAAACAGAGAGACAGCACCCCCAATAGGGTCTTGATGCCGGAAACCAGCCCCAGCTGCAGCTAACTCTAAATCATGGAATAGGTGTGTCTGGCATACTCGGAAGTTTTTAACTTAAAGCCATAATCTTTTCTTGTGGGTCAACCTCACAGGGCATCATGTTTTATTGTTGAATCACTGATCACTGTCAGTTCCCTCGAGTTCTTTTCTTTTCTTCTTTTTTTGGAGAGGTTTTTCATATAGGGTGCATGCACTCACCAGAAAGACAGAGAGAGAGAGAGAGAGAGACAGAGACAGAAGGCAAGAAATCAACCCCCCCTCCAGGGGGGTTGTCCACTCCGCAATCCCTTCTCCTCCATTCTCTCCTCAGGATCTTGGGCACGCACATGCGCCCAGCGTGAGTTTAAGTCACTGGGTTTGGGACTCCAACCACAGTGAACTAACAGGGGAGTCCAACGACATAGCCATTAGGCTAACTGCTGGTCTTTTGAGTTATTTTCTAATAAAGTTTTATTTGCATTTAATGTACTGAAATGAAAAGAAGTAAATTTTTGACTATATATGTATGTGTGTGTGTGTGTGTGTGTGTGTGTGTATTCAAAAAGTTATATAAAAATATATATATAATTGTATATATAAATTTTATAAATATATAAAATTATATATATATATATATATATATATACACACACACTCAAAAATTGGGACTATGTGTGTATATGTATATATTTGTGTGTAGTATCAATTTTTTTTGCTATTGCTACTCTATAAACATGATAACTATGGTTTCCGTTTTTCTAAAATTTTAGATATGTGTACATTTTATATTATGTTATTCTTTTACAGGACTGATTTTATTTTTGTTTGTTAGATTTGATTGCTCTGCTTTAAAGTCTTTTAAAGAAGGGCTTGTGTGTATATGTATATATTTGTGTGTAGTATCAATTTTTTTTGCTATTGCTACTCTATAAACATGATAACTATGGTTTCCGTTTTTCTAAAATTTTAGATATGTGTACATTTTATATTATGTTATTCTTTTACAGGACTGATTTTATTTTTGTTTGTTAGATTTGATTGCTCTGCTTTAAAGTCTTTTAAAGAAGGGCTGGCAGTAGCATGGTAGTTAAAGTCCTCGACTCCCATATAGTCAACAGTGGTTTGAGTCTTGGACTTGGTGGCTTGCTTTCTCATTTTTCCTCTCTGTCTCTCTGTCTCTGTCTTCCTCCAGTCAAATTAAAAAATAATAATAAATAAAAATTTAAAAAATCTTTTTAAGAATATCCCTAGTGACATGGAGAAGCAATAGTGGATATAGTTTGAATAATCACAACACATTTAAGATGAATATACCTGTATATGAATCTTAAATTTAATGTAGTTTTGAAGATTACATAGGTATAATAGAAACTGGATTGACCATAAGTTTGTGTGTGTAGGGGAAAGAGTTTTTTTTTTGTAACAGAGACAGGGAAATATTTTCCATAAGAGGGAATGGAAACTTAAAGTCTAGAAAAAATAATCAGAAAAAAAGTGATAGGTCAGGGAAAACTCTTCATTTTATCCTAGGTAATGGCGGGATTGTGACTAATTGTATTTCTTTAGAAGTCAAAGAAAGAGTTTCTGATCATTTCAGTCTTTTTGTATCATCCATCATCTATTCTATCATCTATATTTATATCTGTTCAATATATCTGTATCTATCAGATTGCTATTTAATGAGTGGGCCATCAGGAGCCATTTTGATATATCCTAAGATATGTCAAACGTAGTTACGTTTCTTGTTTTATTTTAGCAAGAAAATTAAATAAGAACTTTATTTATTTCAAGGTCTTACTTAAAGACCTATAATATCCCAACAATGTCAATATATATGTATAAAATAACATATACTTACTTTATATAAACTATAAATCTTTGTTTTGGATTTCTATAAACGCTCAGAAGGAGTTCTTCCAATAATGTTTCTGTAAATGATCCCAAGTGGATGATTATTAGAAGAGAACAAATAGAAATGATTAGTCTTGTCTAATGCTGTTCTACTAAATATCAAGTAGATTTTACTGAGAAAAGGCATAATAATAAGCATAAGGAAACCTAAAACAAGCACGATAAAGACATTTTATCTAACCCCCAAAGGCATATGTATATTTTAAAATATTTACCATAATTAATTGTATAATTTGGTATATATGCAAAAATTTGTATTAGGACCTGAAGTTCATACATTGATGAGTCATAGTACAATAAATGGGAGGCTATTATCATCCCATATTTCTTAATATTTCACTCATATATTGCTTTAACTTTTTCTGAGCTTCAAAATGCTACCTTCCTCCAAAAGTAGTCATAAACTTCAATATCTGTGACTTACTTACATCCTTTGCTTTCATAGATTTACTGTATTATTTATGTGACCTTAAACAGAATTTTCCCCCTTTGACCTGAGTTTAAATTTATAGAGAGGAACATACGTCATAAATTATTCTGTGACTCTCTTCTATAATTCCGTATTGGGATATTGGGGTTAAGCCTTGTCGATGAATGTAGCTTTCATTCATTTATTTTCATTGTGTCCCATTTTTGCAAAAATAGTTCAGTCTATTTACCCATGCTCTGCTGATCATCTGATCATTCTGAGTTGTTTCTCATGTGGACAGTGCTATTGGAAACATGCATGTTGGGAGGTTTGAGGGCGTGTGCATGTGCATATGCTTCCTTCGAGTAAGGCAGCCTTGGACTGCACGTTATGCACATTTTACTAGGATATGCCAACTAAATGTGGCAAGGGCTTGTAATCTCGAAAGGTTGCAATGGTCCATGAGTTTACCAACACCGGGCACTTTAATAATTAACTTTTTGTTATTCTGATTAGTATCAATGACATCTCACCTTTGTTGTGATCAGCATCCCCGAATGTCTATTTTTTAAAAATAATTTTGTTTGACTTTATTTGTTATTATTATATTGTAATTTGACAAGAGAAAGAGAGAGAGAAAGAGAGAGAGAGTGAGAAAGCAAGCCACCAGGTTCAGGACTTGAACCATAGTCAGCCATGTGGGAGTCCAGGGCCCTTAACCACCACATCACCTGCCAGCCCCACCCAGAATGCCTGTTGCGTTTTTATGTGATCATTCATAATTGTATTTATGTGGCATGCTTGTTCATGTTTCTGTCTCTTGTTCATTTTTTCTATTGAGTGCTTAGTTATCTCTTAAGGATTTCCAAATTTCTTTTTATTATAGATTCTGAATACTAAGCAATGTTTTGGTTTTATGTGTTAGTAAAAATGTGCATCTGTTGGGCCAGCCAGTGGTGTGGTGGTTAAGGCTGCTGGATCCCATGCAGCCAGCTGCATGATTTGAGTCCCAGACCCAGTAGCCTGAGGAGCACAGTGGGTGCATGTATATGTGTGGTCCAAATCCCAAGAGGAGGGAGATGAGGAAGGGATTGCAGTATGACCGTTCACCATGAAGGGTTCATTCTCACGTGCATTCTCGCTCTCTCCCTGTCTGTCTCCTGTGAGTGTGTGTGTCTATTGGCAATTTTTTTTTTTTGAGAGGTTTTTGCTATAGGGCGTATGCGCGCACCAGAAAGACAGAGAGAGACAGAGAGATAGGAAGTGAGAAACCAACCCACAGGGGTGATGGCCATGCCGCACTCCCTTCTCCATTCTCCTGTCGGGACTTTGGGCTTGCATGCACACGCGCCCAGTGTGAGTTTAAGCTGCCGGGTCCAGGACTCAAACCATGGTCGACTACATGGGTGTCTAGTGATATAGCCATTATGCTAACTGCTGGTCCCCCTACTGGAAATTTTTTAAAAGTGCATATGTGTTATGAAAAATATACTTCCAGAAGGCCAGATAGTGATGTAACAATAACATGTGATGGATACTCTGTGAAGCTGACTTACACAGGAAGTTGCTGGGTTCATGTCCGACTTCCTTGAATATTCTGAGCACATGTGTGTCCACGAGGCCAGGGTAGCCGAGGTTGAGGGTTGAGTGTGGATTGCAATGTCCAAAAATGATGTTTTTGTCACTCATAAAATAAATAAGCAAACATATATACATATATATATATATACATATATATATATATATATATATATATATATATATATATATTTTTTTTTTTTTCCTTTCCCATTCACTGTGTGGTATCTTTTCGGGAACAAAAGTTCTTAGCATAATGTAGCTTAACTTAGCTATCTTTCACTGTGACTAGTGCTTGTGTCTTAGTTAAGAAATCTTTTCCTTCACTGTTGTTATAAAGATATTTTTTGTGTATTATTTTCCAAGAGTTTTATACTTTTGTTTCTTTGCTTATGTCCTTATTTCCTGTAACTGATTGTGTAGTCTGTGAAGTAGAAATCCAGTTTCATTAAAGCTCACTATGGATAAACTACTTTCCTAATAACTTTTTTTTCAATAGATTTTTGCTATACGGCACGTGCACTTGCTGAACAAACCGAGAGATGGATCGCCCCCTGGCGGGGTGGACACACTGCAATGATTTATCAAGTGGCTGTGTATGAGTTATCATTCTCATGTCTCTATTCTCTTTCTTTGCCTACTTTTCTTGCCAGCACTGTTGCCACGCAGCTACGAGAACCTTGGTTTGGCAAGGAATGCTAACTTTTGAGCTTCCTAGTAGGAGTTTAGGGCTTCTATCATCCAGTTTCATAACTTAAGATGTTATGAAACCTATATAAAACCTTTTATAGCTTATGTACATTTTCCAGTCAGTCCTGCAAAGCCCTACATAGGGGGCCATAGGTTGCCTAGTGCTTAAGTCGCTGGACTTGCACATGGCCAACCATGGTTCAAGTCTCAAACCTGGCAGCTTGAAAATCATGCCAGGAACATGTGCAAAGTGTGCCCAAAATCCCAGGAGGAGGGTGGAGGAGGAGAAGTTGTGGCATGATCATCCCTGTGGGGTGATTTCTCACTTCCCCTCTCTCTCTTTCTCTCCTTGGTGAGCACACATGACCTTTGGCAAAAACAGAAAACAAACAAACAAAAAGCCCTGTACAGTTCGCAAGTTCCTAGATATTTTTTTTGTTCAAATTGTGTGGTTGTATTTTTTTTTCCCATTAAATGACTCTCCTATTTGGATACTGACAATTTCTCATCCTCATTTTCATGTGTGATCTATCATTTTGGTGTGTCTGAGGTGAATGGAAGAGAATTTCAGCATGTACTCGAATCCATCATATTAAAAATAATGCCATTATAAACCTTTCAACTCAGTATATAAAAATATGATTAAAACTTGGTTATACTTGTAGAATAAGTCTAAATATAATTCTAACATGTTTTGGAAGTAATCACAATTGATGCATATTTATTTTACCTCTGCAGTAATAAATCAATATTCTCTTTTAATGTACTTTCTCTACATACAGTTTGAGCCCTGGAAATATTATTTTTATTGCTTTACAGTCATATATATTTTATTAAAAATATTATTATCCAGCTTCTTAATTCACTTTATTATCCTTGCTTTTTTAATTTCATCTATCAGTCTTTATTGAACATGAGCTCTAAGTATCTTTAGATTGTGTCGGAATATAACAATTTTCCACAACAGATTTTCAGCTTCTGAATATAATTAAATACAATAGTAAGGATGGTAAAAGGATGTTCAAATTTTATTCTGTGGAAAATAACAAGAGAGAGAGAGAAGTTCTTTCAGATGTGGGTTTATTGAAGTCTTCTTTCTTTATAATCAAAATTCTGAAAATAATTGGAAATTGGAAAGAACATTGGTACACTTTGTTCAATCATTTTCCAGTTTTAGGAAGAGCTATTATTTGCCGAAGATTGTTATTTTCCTGCAAGGTGTAAATAGTTTCAATCATTCAAATCCAATTATGTATATTCTACATCCAACTCATATTTAAAGTAAAATCAGTGAATTAGAGGTGCTATTATAACTGGATAAAGACTCCCGAGCTAGCAGGGAAACCAATCCCATCACCTGGGGTGGGAAATATCAAGTACCACTTTCGAGTCAAAGATTGCGTGTCCTTCAGATTGACTTGGGACCAGCTTGACCTTACAGTTATACTCAAGTGATTTATAATGAAAATCTCATTTCTTCTGGAAAGAGATGTGAATTCAGTGTGTGCATAATATTAAAAATAAATGTCATAAAGAGTCAAAAATATTTTTGAGAAAAAGCATGACAATCATAATATATATAGCTTGGCTAAATTCTCATTAAAATAATAGGCCACTTTCACTGAAATTTCATTTGTATTTATTATTTAAATTTAAAATGAAATGGTTACTTTCAATAGTGAAATTATTGTCATTATGACTATAGAAGGTTACAGATTTTGTTCCTAAGAATAACTCTTAAAGCCATCTGTATTTATTTACTGATGGATTTTGGCTGTAATAGTACTCTATTACATAAAATTCAAAAAGAGTTTTATGCTCATTCATATAGCAACACATCATCAATCTGAATCTTAGCTATATAGGTGGCTTTGTTACCCCAAAATACACAGAGAACTGAACAAACAAAAAATGCCTTCAGTTATCTCTAAAGTAGTCATGAAGCAGTTCAGTACTTAATTCTTGCTATCATAGGCACCGCTAAATAAGAGAGCATATTTTTATTAGTGGACAGTTTTTATCCCAGGAAGTAACAGGGAAACTTTAGAGTCAAGAAACAAATACAAAAAAAAAAGATAAAATTTTTGAGGCAATGATCTCTCTAAAAGATTTACGTTTTGTGCATTAATCTAATAACACTTTTCAAGTCCCTCTCTGCAACTCAAGTAGGATGACAGACAAAAAAAGTTGTTTATGAAAGTTATGATCACCTGGAGTCGGTATGTTGACTGATTCCATTGCAGTAAGGATATGATTACTACTGTTATTATATTCATTGAAAGTCATAAATCTCTGGGGTCAGCAGGTGGCATAGTGGTTAAGGCACTGGACTTCCACATG